TTAGGTGATTGTAGTTGTTCATTATTATTATTCGGTTAGCTTCAGTAATACTGACATTAGAAGTACAGTATAAAAAATTATTTTAGTATATTTGAATTATGATACATAAATTATCAGTGTTGTAATGAGTTCATGTGTGTGCTTGTGTTTGTGTTTGTTTACTGTAAACTATTTTTCCAGAAGCTTTTTCCAATTATCAGTTTTTATGTATAGTGGCATTTTATTTACAGGTGAGGTAATTAATGAACGTGACAGGTGCCAAGCTTGTGTGGGCAGGAAAGTTATACAGCAGACCAAAATCTTGGAAGTGCATGTCGACAAGGGTATGAGAGATGACCAGCGCATTACTTTTCGCGGAGAGGGTGATCAAATGCCGGGTGTTGAGCCTGGTGATGTCATAATTGTTCTCCAGGTAATTTTCGTCTTTTTTCTTTCATTTGTCTATAGCTTTCTCTTCTCCATCCCTTATTGCATTTGGGAAATCATGTTTACATTTTGGTACATGTTTGCAAAATAACTTTTGAGGACTTCTTCTTTTCTGAATATTTATTGATCTTATCTCCATCATTCCAGGAAAAAACTCACGAGACTTTCCAGCGTGCAGGCACTGATCTCTTAATGAAGCACACTGTTTCACTTACTGAAGCCCTGTGTGGATTTTCGATGGTTGTGAGGCACTTAGACGGGCGAAATCTCCTCATTAAACAGCCTCCTGGATCAGTCTTGCAGCCAGGTTAGTTTGGAGATTGCTTTTATTGCTTATTACAGTCTTGCATTTACGTAGAGGGACTTACAATGATAAGTCACGGCAAATGCTAAAGTGTAATTGACGTATAGCACATTTCTCTATGTATAAAATCTATTTAATGTCAAGAAAGGTCTTACGTTGTTTATACTAAGTGCTCGTGACACCAGTATTCTGGAGAAGCAAAAGCAAGAGAGCTTCTTTCTTTCCATTATTTCAATGATAGTGTTGATAATCATGATGTCAATAATGATAATAAGTATTTTGATAGCATAAAAAAAAAACATTTAGTTGTGGGGCCATCTATGTGAGAAAAATTGCATGGACAATATATTCACCCACATGGAAAAGGACAAAGTTTCCTGAATTTCAGCAGTCTATGCTCAGAAATGTCTATAATGATGCAGACAATTTTTAATACTGATATTATTTGCAGGATGTGTGCGAGGTGTGGTAGGAGAAGGCATGCCCATTTACAAGAACCCATTCGAGAAGGGTGACCTCTATGTTAAATTTGACGTTGCATTCCCAGAAAATTATTTTGCTACTGAAAATAAACTCAAGGTAATTATGAAGGAATGGTAAAAGCATGAAAAGCTGAGATAGAATATGTACACATTATATAGAAAGTGATAAATTTTCAAAATTTTGATTTATATGCAACTGTGCATATGTTTTTAAAATGAAGATAAAGGTTACATATGAACATGGTGTGGATGTCAGGAAAACAAGTTATTAATTTATGGGTTTCTTGTTGTGATGATTTGCTTTTTGTATTTTCTGATATATAGTGTTTTACTGATTTTGCTTACAGGAATTAGAAAACCTACTAGGTGGACGTCCCCCAGCAGTTCCTATCCCTGCTGATTCAGAGGAAGTAAACCTCACAGAGTTCGAAGAAAACTATAACTCGGGGAGCTCTCAAGGAAATTACTATGATGAGGATGACGATCACCCACATCTTGGAGGACAGCATGTACAATGTGCACATCAGTAAGAGATCTGCCAGAATGGGATGCTGCCGATGATGTTCCCTTTGGTGTGTGCACCCGAGGCTATGCATTCAGTGAACGCCATGGTTTAGTGTGAAGAGAAAACTTTTTCAAGTCATCCGCCATCCTTACCTGGATTATCTAGTAGCATTAAAATCACATGTAGACTCCCCAGGTATAATGCACACATCAATATCATTGTATCCTATTAAGTTGGGCTTTCCCTGAAGTCACTGTAGGGTTGGATAGGAAGAGAGCAAGCAGTTCGGTTCTCTTCCTGGAAAGCAACGTGGTATACTTTGAGAGTAACTCGTATCCATGCTTTGGGATTGGCTTAGTTAGGTTCGTTTCTCTCATCACACTTGTTTTCCTTTTCTTTGTCTGTTGTCTTTGCTCTTCTGTATTTTATTTGAAGTATTATTTTTTTCTTTATTTTCTCTTCTTTTTGTGGTTGTGTGAAATACTTGAATGATAATCTGTGCATCATAACGTGACCGTAAGGTAATATAACTAAGGCTTTGATGCTTGAACTATTGATGTAAGGGAAACCAGCAACATTTCTTTCAGTTTTAATCTGAAAGCCTTTTTACCCCATGGATGGTAGTGACATTGTGTTGTACAGTTTGTGATATGACAAAAGTAACAACCAAAGAACTGATGATGAGTGGAAATGCACGGTGCACTGCGTTGTCATAGCTCAAACGACTTTCAAAAAGTGATCATTCCTAGCTAAGACTTCGTGTTTTCCTAAAAGCCATTCCCAACAGCTGATTTGAGACTGTGTGTAAAACTGCTGCTGCTTTAGTGTATGCTTTTTCAGTTCTTTTTCTTTTTCTTGTCTTTTTTTCTTCTTAATTTTCTTGAAAAGAGAGGCTCTAGAAAGGGAGGAGGAAAGTTTATGAATTTTTGCAATAATTTCATCAGCTGTGAAGTAATTTAATTTTTTTTCAGTGTACTTTTTCATTTTCCTTTTATTTTTTTCAAGGTTTTTATTATCATCATGTAATCCTATTTATATGAATGTATTTATCGTTAATAAGATATGCAACACGAGGAAAGAAACATTGTAAATCTTTTAGAAATAAATATACCTTGTAATACAAAGTCTTTGGTTCTAAAGTGCCAGTATTTGAAAAGGGGAACATATTCTTTTGCTCTTATCATCTATGAATTGACTTCGCCCAAGATTATCTAAGGAAGATGTCAACCAAAACATTCCTATGTGAAGAGATTACCCCTCCACCCATTTAATGTTAATTTTCCCATCCCAAGTTATGTACTGTACAAGAAACAAGGTCCACTAACATGATTTTCTTTTGTATTACAAAGTGTAACATGATAATTTGTATGATTTGGCTCAGATGTATGCATGCAGAAATGTGTGTGTATATATATCCAAGAACAGATATATATATATATGTAGATTTTTATGAAAACCAAAAACAGAAGGGTGATGCTATGCATAACCTCCTGGGCATTTATGAGACTCAAAATTCCAATAAACGTATATCAGTTATTTTTTTCTTTTTCATTTTCAATCGGCATGTATGCAGGAATAAGCAAAGGTTATTTTTAATCATTTTTCCCTATGTAATATGAATAAGAGCACTAAATATTTTCATTCTAACACCAGTTGCTTCAAGCAGATATATAGAGTGATGGTGAAACAAATGTCATCTCTTATGCATGAAAAACATAATTTCCCTTTTTACAGGGCTTAAGTACTTGTTTTGCATAACTGATTAGGTTTTAACATCACTATTTAGAAAGGCTTTTTCAGGCTCTCTTTCACTGTAGGGAGATGGGGTCAGTGCCCTAAGGTACGATCCACAGTATAGTTCCGATAGTCAAGAAGGTAAATAGGGTATATTTACAAAAACCAAGAACTGACGTGTATGTTGAATCTTAGTGGGAATAAGTATCATACTTTGATTAAAAAATAGTATTTGTGTGAGACTGACTTCTCTCTTTGTTTTAAATATTGTCATTGTGTAAATTCTCCTGAAAAGGTACTCCATATTTGCCAGATATTTTTCTTTTTTTTCTTTTTCTTTTTTCTTTCTTTTCCATTCTCTTTACATCCATTAAAAACAAGTCCTGTTGTGTTTCCAGGGTATATTTGCCAGATTTTTTTTTCTTTTTCTTTTCTTTTTTTCCTTTTTTTTTTTACATCCATTAAAAGTCCTGCTGTGTTTCCAACCATTTAACCCAAGTGAAATTTGGATATGATGTTAAGTGGCAGTTCTAGACAAGCTTCATAAAATCTCATAACTCAAGTTAGAAATGCATCTGTAGAACCACATACTTGATATTATGATTATTATTTTATTATTTGATATATTTTATATAAACATCCATTATAAAGGAATATTTACCATATTCATTTTATATTTTCATTGTCTCCCAAGTTCTATTCTAATTAGTAAGCCCTTCAGTTTTTTATTTCTTTGGCTGCTGGAAATCCTAGATGTAAAAATGTTTAGTATTTTCATATAATGTGCTCTGTGTATAAAGTTACCTTACCAATCCACTGTCATAAATGAAAAAAAGTTTATTTCTTGTTGCCTGGTAGATCATTTCAGGTTTACCTTGAAAACTGGTCCCTATTTTCTTCTGAGATCAGGTCTTTTATTTCAAAATGTGTGTTTTGGATGCACCATGTATAGATAATATCAACAGCTGTGATTTGAAGATGTAAATACTGGTAGATGTTATTTACATGAGTCCTTTCTATGAAGTTTCATTCAGGTGTCTTCATTCAGAACTGTTGATTTTGTCATAGATTTATTTCCATTTTCTTTTTATTATTGCCTCAAGTATTATTTCCCTAATGGCTGGAGAACCAAGTACCACCCATACTTTAGAGCAGGGGTTCCCAACCTGGGGACTATGGAGCAATATGAAAATTATGATGTCAAATTAGACTGAATTTTATCTCGCAGTACCGCCATATTACTATATCTCACATATCAATAAATAGGAATTTTTCCATAAAGTTTTCTTATAGCTATCGACTCCATTATACCATTCATAGCAAGTAATAACTGAATCTGAAAAGATGAGACACTTAACAGGGCCATGGATATTATTACACATTGATCGGGGGCCACAGAATGAAAAAGGTTGGAAACCACTGCTTTAGAGTAACTGTACTTATTTTATTACCTATTCTTTAGGCAAGATTTGTATATGCCCTCCCAACTAACTGAAGGTTTCTCAGGATGGTACCAGGTACTGCACCTTACACTATATAAAAGGTAGAA